ACAGTAGTCAACATTTGAAGTGGATCAAAAAAGTTCATCAAAGTTGTCCTAAGACAAGAGCACATTTTGGTTTTAGGACAACTTTGATGAAAGGTTTTGATCCACTTCAAATGTTGACTACTGTATGTATGCATATATATATATATATATATATATATATATTTGAGTATGCTACATAGTAAGGCGCATGTTTAATATATGATGTTGAACGAATCTAGTATAGTGTTTTTTTCTCGTTCTTCACTTAAGATTTAATTCTTTGGAATACACATCAGATAACCAGCTCTGATAACTGATACATTGTTATGGTCAGACTTCCATAACATCTGAAGTTGAACAATGACTTGGACTACCTGGCCTGTTGTCGTCATTATATGTGATTGTTAGCTTTCACATTGTTTATAGATCGAAAAACTATTTAATCAAAAATTAATTAAGGCCCATTCTGGCATTAAACTGATTGTCTCTCATCACATTTTGCTGTCTAGACCAAATGCAACCTAAATGTGGTCTTTCATTTTACTCTCAATCCGATGATCTCAACATAACCATGTGGCCCAATCATGAGACTAATCAACATAACCACTGACTAATCTCTGCTCACTCCTGTTAAACACATCAGAGAAACCAAACCATTTAGTTGTGGTTTAAAAGATAGTGCAGTGGTCATGGCCTTGTCGTTATAATAAGTTCTAAGTGGGTTTCCTGAGAGTTAAAGAGGATGAGACGGCTAAAGGCAAAAGGTTGCCGTCTCCTCATTCCTCTTCTACATTCTGGCCCTGATCACACTTCCTGTTTTGTCAACAGGCCTTATCACAGGGCTTTTGTTCACACTAATATCCTGCAAAATAAAAGGCAATGCAAACAAACATTGTCTTTATGTTGGGAATTTTTGGTCCACAAATTTGTGATGTTTTGTCTCTGCGAGTTTCCAGTCCTTTCCCTCAAGCACACGGAGGTTCCTCGGCAGGGAACAGGGGGCTGCAGGGTGGAGCGTTGCTCAGAGGGCGGAAAGCGAAGATGGATGGATCGTAGGAATATCGGGGTGCGTGACGGCCACCACTCAGGTTCTGTGAGGGAACCACAAGAAACAAAAAAAAGATATGAATGCGACTGGAAGCTGAAGTGGGAAGAAACTGGATTTGATTTATTAGTGAGTGTCCATGAAGTCTACAAGACTGTAAGGGGTACCATTCGTCATTTTATGATTCAGAAAGGGTACCCCACTTTGTGATGGTCTAGGCTGAGGGAGGCATTTGCAAGAAGGCAATTTGACTATATCTCAACCCCTAAATGGCCCCCACAACTTC